CAATATCCCAATATTTCCTTTGTAGTATATCATGGTTAAGAGAGAGAGAGAGAGAGAGAGAGAGAGAGAGAGAGAGAGAGAGAGAGAGAGAGAGGAGTGTATAAAGGAAAATCCTTTTTTCATTTCTCAAGGAACTGGGAACGTATTTGTTCTTAGTAGATTCATAGCTATTTACCATTCACTTCCACTTTGAATTTCTCAACGACGGGGAACTGGTTGAAGCCATAGGTGGACCTACAGGCGTAGTAGCCAGCCATGTCATAGCTGACTGACCTCAAGGCTAATGTCCAGTTCTGGAAGACCTGGTACCTCCTGTCGTAAGCCAGTGTGTACCTGTAGGGGTATAGAGATAAACAGAAAACATGACGTTGAATAGGAGTGGGTATGGACACCGCAGATCTAATGGGGGTGGGGGAGAGAGAGAGAGAGAGAGAGAGAGAGAGAGAGAGAGAGAGAGAGAGAGAGAGAGAGAGAGAGAGAGAGAGAGAGAAGGGGGAGAGAGAGAGGGAGAGAGAGAGAATTTTATACATATTTTTCTCCATTCCCCATAGTCGTCAGCCCAAACTGTCAAATCAATCATCGTCTCTCTTTGTCTATTTTTTTTTTTAGCTTTGGCTCCCAAAATCCCTCACTTTTTTTTGTTGTCTACCCCAGTTTGCAATTTACCTTTTATTCCTACACCAGCAGTTATATCATCAACAATTTTCCACAAAATGTCTGTAATTCCGTGAGAAAAATCTATCTTGAACATCATCATCAACTGCCAGATCTGCAACAGACAGACACCATTTATTCCTTTGCTCGATTGCTTTATAAAAAAAAGTTATTCTTCTGATCATTCCCAGTCACATATGTGTTTAGGCTCCCCAAGTAGCTTGCCCTGCCTCATTTACTGCTGGCGAATTCTCCGTTACACATATTTATCTTTATACTGACTGATTTATCGCTATATGTATTCCTCACAGAAACTCAGTTTTCAACATAATTAGTAGTGGTAGGTTTATCATGTTACGTTTGTATTATTGACAAATTAGTGGGTGGTTGGGGGGGG